GCAGCAGGGGAAATTACTTGCTTTGAACATGCTGTCAGCCTCAAACAGGGTAATGGGTGAGTGCAGTGTGCTCAAGCCAGTATTTTGTTCCGTAGTCTGACATGCACAAAATGATTCCACTACACCGAGAGCTGCCCTGCCCTCAATCAGTGCAGAACCACAAACCAAACAAGCCTGCAGAGATGCGACTTGGGAGGTAGTTTAAGCCATCAGTGACAAACAGACAAAGATGTACAATAATCTAGGGGGGGGAAAAAGTACTAGGAAAAAGATTAATTTGCTGTGTAGCAAACCCAGGAATCTGTTAAGCTTTTTAAGGGCAATTGTCTCTTACTGCTTCTACATCAGGTGTGGCCACCAGAGTGACAAGAACAGCCTCTTTTTCCTTCTAAAAAAGGAAGTTTGCATTTGGAAGTATGAAACTCTGAGCATGGTTGTGTTGTCATCACCACAAACTCCCAAAGGGTCCACAGCTCTCTCAATTGCCATTAGTCCTTCAGGCTCAGCAAAGCAATTCTTTGTTGCTGTGAGAGACAGAGCTTTCGGTGCAGCTTTGCAGAGGGGACAGAGGATAAACACGTTACTGGCTGGTCTATTAGGACTTCTTTTGAAGAGCAAGAGATGCTTTTTATGGACTCTAAGTCCAATGGGCATGATGGAGGTGACTAAAGTTTTTCTCGTGGTGGACAAAACCATTGTAATTTCAACCAGACACTTCACATAGGAAAGAAGCCTTGATCAGTACTAGCCTGGATTACTTACTGATAGCAGCAGCTGTGCTGAACCTTGTTCTCATGAAGGCAACCCAGGATGTAAAGTTGGGGCATTCTCTCCTGCCCTGTACCAGCCAATTACGATACAAATCTGGCCAGGAAGAGAGATCCCTGATTTTCATGGCCACGGAAGTGTCCTTGGTGACTGCCACAGAAGAGCCCCCCTCTGCTAAAGGCACTGAGGGGCTCAGTAGTGTCTGGCACCGCTAATCCTAAGGTGTGCTCTGACTCGTGGGACACAACAGAGTTTGCATGCAGCTCCCTGCAGTGGGGGCCACCTACAGCCCTTCCCGGGGAGCCAGGCCTGGGGTCTCCCTCGTCTCCTAGCTCCTCAAAGGGCACCTGGCAAAGCAAGGTGCTGGAGGATGGATCGATGCCCAGCAACAGGTGACAGCGCATCGATCAAACAGCTCCTGACCTCCTCTCCACTGCACTAATGCTGCGGTTTTTCAAGTGACTGGCCAAAGCAAGGGCCTGGAAAAACAGATTGTTCTCATATTGCACTGCAGAACAAGCTTGTGAAAAGAAACTCAATTCTTTATCAGGGTTATCAGGATTCTTTAACAGGGTTATCTGTTTTGAACTAGTCAGATCTCCACACCACACTGACAGTCACCTTTCTACCCACATTTCCAATGACACGAGCCATAGTTTATGATGCTCGGGTCTGCTGCTTTCTATGGACAAGCCACGCCACTTCTAACCATTAGCACATGTTCCCAGCTTCTGAGTGGAGTCAAGGAGCACAACAGGATCTTAAATAAAGCATACGGCCCTCTCTGAGTAAGAAAAATAGATTTCTAGTTGTGACATCCCAAAGTGGTATGAGTGGAAGTGTCAAGTGCATTTTACTCAATGATAGCTACGAAAAACAAACACACAGTGCTCCACGATACCCTGTTGCTACTTCTGTTTGCGTTATCCATAAGTGGTTATTTTCCATCCAAAGTTTCTACAGCTCCAGCTCCTGGTTGTGTCATCGCCTGCCAATTACTGCAGGCACAGAGAAGTTTTTTCTCTCTCCTCCAGCAATTCAAACAGTAACCTTTGTCTCACCTGGTTTTCCCTTTTGAACGTGCGGCTCCTGCCACAAGTGCAGCCTATCTTTGCTCTTCATAAAGGCAAAAGGAGTGAGAGATGGCTCAGTCCTGGAGAAGTGTTCTCCAGCTAGCCTCCAGGGGGCAAGGCCATTAACAAAATTACAACAGGTGATTACTTGAGTAGGAATAACAGATTTATATGAATTTAATATCTAACATCTGTCTGGCCAAAGCAGGATACCACCTGATAATTGTACACCAGTTCTCAGTCATGGTGGATACTCAAAATAAAGCTAGCAGCACAGTTTCTGTACAGTTTTTGTAAGAACATTTAAGGTAATGATCACAAAATGAAGCAATCTTGAATGCCAGCGTCTAAAGCCAAGTGCCTGGCTTTTCATGTAGGCAGCCACATCTCCTCACAAATACTCAGCAGCCACAAAGCAATGGAAAGGGCTTGTGTTCAGTGCTGTTTGGGGTAAAACCAATTCAGAAAAGCTCTTGTCAACTCCTCTTATAATTTAGAACTTCCTTTAGGTTTTTCTGAAGGTGCAGAAGTATCAATCTGTGCGTGCTACCAGCCTGAACAGAGCACACTGTGTTAGCAGTGGTGTTTACTTCACCCTTTCTACCTATCATTTCTTGTGGTCAAAGAGCCCGTCATGTTTTGCATGGCCCCTGAAACACCCAGGGCACTGGAGTTGATGACCCCAAAGGTCCTTCCCAAACCCGTGTTCCTAATCACTTGAGGAAGGCAATGTGTCCTTCCATGTGCTCGTAAGGACCTCTCGTAATCTTAATTAAGACTGTGGGCATAATCACGATGCAAGTCATAACCATAACAATTTAATTAGAATTATTAAATCCAAAGAGCCAGAAGTACTTAATTAAATAAGCAGCTTGGTTTCTAAGCACAGAGACATGCTTCACATCACTGCAGTCATAAAATTCTCACTGTGCAAAATTATGAGTTGTTGTTTGATAATAATCAATAGAACAGACTATTGAATAAATACCTTCTGACTTGTTTTTCAAGCCATCATATTGGTCCCAGTAGCTTGCAAGACAGATATAAATAACAGTGCAATTGCATTCCCCCAGGCTTGCTGTTATTGGTATCTAAATAACCACTGACGTGACCAGATAAAGAGAGAAAAAAAAATCTCATTTGTCAAATCTTGCAGATAATTGTCACTGTAACCTCTGTATAGGGCTCAACTGCCAGGGTTACTGTCCACATCACTTATGTTCGTAGCATGTTTTTTTTCTCTGAAGTTCATCACAGCTTCCACTCAGTTTGGAGTAATAGGTAGAAGTGTAGTGTCCTACAGAGACTACATTTTTTGACAGAGCCATGGACTAAAAATATCAAAAATACGTCTGCCAATTAGTAATAGGGATGATACACTAAGAATTCCAAACACATTATATAGAGAGCACTGCAGATCTTTATCAATCTGAGTCAGAATAACTGGCTTTGGTTTTGGCTCCTGTGAGAAGTGTTTTGGTCCTTTCTCATCTTAGAAATGTATTCCTCTTGTCCAGTCTCACTGAAGCCAATGAAAAGTCCCGTTTTGATGTGGGTTTTGGATCACAGATCTACAACTGACATGCAATTACAAATGAAGAAATTTGTACAGTAACCTATTTTTGCTGTGATCAGACATCATCTATACGCAATTTCTACCAACATACCTGCAAGTGACAGTCTTTGCCGGTTGCTTGGGAAGTTCTTACCTGGGAATGTGTCCATGTTTCAGTGCTGTCTGGCTCCTGGGAGCTTTAGCACTTGGGTCCAGGACCAGCTGTGCAGCTGTGGCCACTCTCTGCATGCACATTGTCTCGTGAGTGCATGGGGCTGCAAGGGATGAGGTCACCGACAAACCCCAGCATTTCTTAGGGGAAGCTGCTGGGGCCATGAGCGTGAGACGCAGCCCAACAGAGCTCACCATGAGTGCTGGTGGCCCCTCGCGTGCTACTGTCACAGGGGTGCACGTGGCCCTGGGAATTCCTATTTATAACTAACTGGTTTAAATTAGGCAAGAGGTGTTCCACCTCTGGGACAAAACTGTTCACATTCATCTCCAGTGAAGACAGAATTTGCTTCCTGTGGCGGGACTGATTTTAAACACCACAGAAATATGCAAATGACACAGAGCAAAACTGTCACCTATCTTTAGATATGCTCAGGTGACAGAGAACTGTCACGTCCTCCAAGCGATACATCATTTTCTTTGGCCTCCTGATGGCAAAGACTGCCACGAGCAGCTAGCACCAGCCTTTGCCTGTCTGGAGCATAAATACTGGCAAGAGCCAAAGTAAAACCTTGCTGCATGGCAGGGGCAGGTCACAGTTTCACGGATAAGTTTCTCCTGCCACAAGAGTGCAAACACAGTGGCACAGCCCTAGGCTCTGACAGCCCCAGCAAAGCATGCCCACATGCAAGTATGATGGGCCCATCCTGCACCCTGTGCTCCTTCTGTTGGAGACTACCCACATGAGACAGCACATGCCATCAGGAAAATAAGGGGTTGGAATAGAAACCAAACACTTGGGATGAGTGAATAGGGTCACGGGATGTTGAATTTCCATTCAATGCTCAGTGATGCTGTCTCATCCCTCAGTTTCCTTCCTGCCTTTACCCATTTTGTGTGCCTGACTTCATGACACGTGCTGCCCCAAATGCCTCACATACACTGGGACATCTGCACACATGCATGCACACTTTCAAAAGCCACAAGAACCCAACAACAGCTCACAAGGAACTCTTCCTCACCCCTACCTGCCAGCTATTCAGCCTGCGAGCAGCAGATGGCAGCTCCACTGCCATTCCTCCTCGCCTCCCCCTGGCTCAGGCCGCCCCTGCAGACAGCACTTCAGCCCCTGGCAGGAGCAAATCCTGCTCCTCCACACTTCTGCTGGGACTCTGGCACTACCCATTGCATCTGGTAATCGCCAGGGAAACTCTGTCTGCCCGGTGAAGTCTGGAGCTTCCCACCCTCCTTCCCTGCCGCAATGCCCGAGCTTTGTGAAATCACTGCCTGAATGGAAATGCCTCGTGTGTGGACAGACTGGCACTGGCACTGCTGCTTCCTCAGCCAAAGAGTGGAGAAAAGGCTATTTACACCAAGACATATCCTATGCCCAGCGTTTTCGGCACTGCAGGGCTTTAGGCTCGCTCACTTACCTGCATGATTTGTTGGTAGAGGGCAACCCTCTCCTTGTGGAAACTTTGGACCCTGGTCTCTGTTGTGAATCTGTGCTGGTTTTATTTATCGAAAGAAGAGAGATGTTCTGTGTGACATGTCTGGTGATATTTTTCTGAGTTGTATTTTCCTGCAAAATAAATAATCATTTGTCTGCATATCCCTTCCTCAGCCCCCCAAAACATTTCTCCTTGTACAGTCACTTACACAAGCACAGAATACAAAGGAGAATAAAAGGTTTTGCTGTTTCTTCGCACAAATGTATAGCAGAATACAGAACTACACCCAGGGGTTTTAGAAAGGAGAACAAAACAGGCTTATGAGGAAAACTGAGTCACAACTTTCTCTCAGCTGGCTGCCCCATGTTGTGAAACTCACGGTAAATAACACCTCCATGCCAAAGCATGGGAAGTTTTCCTCCCCACTTATCACCATAACCAGAAAAAAAAACAACACCGAAAGCAACAATATTTATTTTCCATACTCCATTAGTAGCCCAGAAGCAATTCAAGCATATTACTAGGAACTGAACCCAGCTAATTAAAAATAATGTTCCAAACTACACTGCTGTCTTTTGCATCTGGAGCTGGCTGCCGCAAATAAACATACACAAAAACAAGGACAAATCACAATAAATCTAAGCAGACAGGTACAAGCAAATTGGTCTGTGGAAGTGACATGTCTCTCTGCTTAAATGTCTACTGCAACTCCCAAGGAGACATAGTAGGATTTAATCTAATTGGGTTTGCCACTTCCCTGCAGCTTAATGTGAGAATAACTGCAATTATATATGACTGTACTTAGCCCGGTACCAAAAATCCATTTATTAGGCTATTAGAATCTATAGAAACCAGGGGTTTTAGATCATTTAGATATGGTGGTTACATACTTGGTCTGCTAGTTATTTTGTGGTTACAGTTTCCAAATTGCTACTGATGAGGTGGCAGTAGAAAAGCAGATGCAGTTAAGCATTTGAATGGATGGCTTAGAAGGGTTTTCTTCTTGCTCCAGAATCTGTAATAGCACCTTATACGTTGGCTTGGTGCTCTGCAAATCTCATAGCGTTCAGCAGGGGATTGGGAAACCAAGAGGTTGCTGAGGTTCAGAAATCTGTTCATCATAAAGCAAAGCACCTTTGCATGTGTGGGACCCCACAGAGTTGGCACAGCGCGGCATGGAAATATGAAAAGAATTATGTTTAAGGCCAGCCTTTGGGGGCGACAGAGGGAAGAGCCTCTATTCTTCTTGTTTTGCAGCAATTGTGGGGCTGCAATTAGCAAGAAATGCAAGAAAAGCCATGGGGCCATTCCAAAAAAATTTGGTATCGCCGCTCTCCCACCTGCTCAGCCTGTAAGCAGAGCACAGCACGATGAACCTGCAAACCCTGTCCTTTAAGCTTTTGTCAGCTAGCACAACCATCATAAAATTCATCTTGCCAAACAGATGTTTCTAAATGAGGTAGTAAACTCTCACAATTTCATTTTTTTCTGCATCGTGGTAATTGCTGGGATAAAGGTGGATTTTCTTGGAAGTCTGGAAAACTTCAGCTATAGCAAGAGTACTCCAATGTACACACAGCAGGGGAAGGAAAAACAACAAATGGTTCTTCAGCTTATCCATGCTACAGTCAATGCCCCACTTCATGCTACTGCAGGGACTGAACTATGGTGGTGGGGTCATACCTCTCCTCCCTGCCTCACAGCTAAACAGGGAAAAGTTACTTGCAGATGTCTTTCTTCTATGGCAGCAGTGTCCCTGCTAAGAGAAACCCCAGCCTCAGAGAATTGTGTAGGGACAGCTACCCTAGCATTGGGCAAAAGGCGTTTTTGAAAATACTCAGCCTAAACCAAGGGCCAGTACGATATTAAGCCTTCTGAGGCACCCTGTTAATCAAAAGTTATGTTTAATATACTTGTATCAGAGACTCTTAAACTAGTTGGAGAGCAGTGACTAAGTATTTTCTCTGAAAACCTTTAAATTGTAACTCAAACGGGGATATACTAAAATACTTCTGACTTGCAGCAAGACGCATCATGTACCATTACACTCAGAGACGCAGAAACGGTCAGGATGAGCTCTCGAATGGCTGTAGTATATCACCCTAGAAGTGAATTCACTGCACTACACAACCTGATGCCACATGACAAAGTGTGACAGCTGATCTGTATTGCTTATGAGATATTGTTGAGATATGCTGAATATTTTCTAAACTGCTATCAGAAAACATATGTTCCCAAGGGGTAATGATACAGTGGGTCTGAATAACTCATAAAAATTATGAATGAAGTGTTCTCACCTTCATTTGACCTTTGTTACTTCTCCAGCAGACAGAGCTAAATGCGTAGCACACCAGAATGCATCTGAAGAAGAGACAGATGATAATAAGTAGCTGTTAAGAGATGCTTACTCCACTGGCTCTATTAGTTCAGCTTGCTTGCACAGGAAGAATTTCCCTGCACGTATTAACACAAGTGTAGATAAATAAAGGGAAATACCCAGGTTCATCTTTTCCAGCCTAAACTCCTCCAAGCTAGAGGCACACACAGTGCTTTGTCAAAGGCTGAAGCCCAGGGTGAGGCAGAAGGAGCCATGCAGGAACCACGGAGCTGGGGGCACTATTAAATGCATCTCCAGCACCAGCTGGGAGCGCTGACTGCACCTTTGACCGCAGTCTCCTTACAGAGGTACCTGGAGGCCTTCACCCTCCAGCTGCATTTTCCTCTCTGCCACACCTACAGCCGAGGCATAGTGGGCTACTCACCTTTTGCAGAAAGGCCACAGATCGTAAGAGATCTTTCCTGCATATGAAAATATGCCTGCGTATGTTTTTTTAAATGTCAAAAGGAGAGCAATATTTTTCAAATGTCAACAGGCAAGCAATAACCGTGCATCCTTGGAGACTCGTACAGGGCATAAATCACAGAAAAAGAGGCTTTGGTCAACCAAACCAGAGAACCTTCTGTCCGTATCTGTATCAGGTATCTGGCAGGAATGGTTTAAATGTAACCAGCACGCCACAGGGTAGGAGGAAGGCTTCGTACTGGGGCTTGTAGCCTGCCTGGCCCACACCTCACTTCTGTCAATCCTTTTCTTCCCATCATAACCCATGGCTCTTGGCTTTACACCACACCCTGCTGGCAGGGTCTGAGCAGCTGGGAATGTCTGGTGGTCCAAGGGCAGTCAAGGGCTTTGGGAGCCATCCATCCCTTTCCCTTTCATGCTATCTGGGTCAGATACTGCACCGACTTAACTGCCAGGCTACCCCAGATAAAGCTCTTGTATTTCACTTCTGTAAACATATGATGTGAGGCCAACCAGAGACCAGCTGGGAGTTATCTCCAGTGGTCACTGGGATTCGCAGCTCTGACGTGCCCTTGATTATCTCTCATCTTTGACACTAAGGCCTTGAGTGCTTTTCAGGGCAGAGTTTTTCTGAGGCATTTAACAGCCTCCTTGCTTCATTCTGCATCACCTACTTCATCCTCATGCCAAGCCCTCGGGCATGATGGGCATGAAGAATGCGCAGCGTTTTGTCACTGAGGAAGCAGGTTTCCACATGCTCTGCTACACAATCTCAACAGATGCCACGAAGAAGGCTGAGCAGCATCTTTCACAAAGTTATAAATTTCCTCACGGTCCTGCTGGGGCTTTCAGAGCCAGAGCTATGCACAAACACAAAGAAAGGACTCCGGTCCACTCTGGGAGCTCTCAGAGGAGCTCAGGTGGGAATTATGTTTGGGGAGCCATGGGGAGGATGCCAGCCAGGTGCCCAGGCTCACCCAGAGAGCAGGACTGAGCGTGGTGGAAAAGCTAGGTGGGCAAAGGGCACTTCTGAGTGTCAGCTCTTTCTGGAAGGACACAGTCAGGCGTGCATCACGACCCTGCAGGAGCACCCCTCTCTCTGCTTCCTCCCAGCAGCCTGGTTTTTAACATTTGGAAGCAGCAAGGTGGAGGCAGGACACAGCACTAATGACACCTGCCACCTAATTGAAGCTGTGCACGGGAGTCAGAACAGCAAATATGTTGCATAGGTGCTAAGGCACTGCAGATGATAAAAAGGCACAAGGTAAAAGGGAAGGCGATCCTAAATGGGCACGAGCGAGCATCAAACACAAAGGAAGTTGTAATGAGAGCAGGAGCGTGGAGAGTGACAATTCAGCATGGGAAAGATAAAGCTGGAACAAGAACGGGATCAAGAAAGAGAGCAGAGAAAGGATGGGGAGGAAGAAAAATTTGAAATGGAAACGATGAAAATAGAATATGATTTCCAGAGGGAAAGAATAAGGGTGAATGGGGGTCCTACTGGGTCAGCCCATGCATATTTAGTCAGTTATAATAAGGTAAAATTGCTTCCTCATTACAAGGAAGGGAATGATGTTGATATGTTTTTGCAGTCTTTTAAAAAACTGTACAGAAGTTATAATTGGTGAGAGGAGGCATGGGCAGCACAGTTCAGACCTTGCTCAATGGGAAAACCCTAGAGGCCTATGCCAAGCTGGTTGATAATGACTGCCGTGACTATCAAAATTGTGCAGGGAGCTTTTCTGAGAAGGTATGAGGTTGACCCCAGAGACCTGCAGGGTTACACTCAGGTCTCCAAGGAAAGGATCTGATAACTCCTTTCCTGAATTGGCTGTAGAAATGACAAGTTTATTTAACAGGTGGATAGAAGGTGAAAAGACATCTGTATCTGTTCCTTTTTTTTTTTCTTCTTCCTTTTTAAATGATGAAATTATCCTTAGGAGCAGCTTCTAGAAGATGTTCTGAAGGACTTGGAAGCCTGCTAGACAGACAATTCTTCTCTTACAATTGTCAGCCTATTAATCAGAGCAAATTTTTATGTGCATCCACAAAATAATGAGAGGAGTTGTGGGAATCCTACCTATTTCCACAAAGACCTGCCCTTTCTTTCAGAAGCAAACAGAAACAGACAACAGTACACAACTGCCTAAACCTTACAAACCACATTCTATTTCTTCCAGGACATAATATGAAAAGGAAAAGAAAAAAAAACAACTCATTACCGATATTATATATGCCAAAACTGCAGATGTGGCACAGAGTGTTAACAAAGAGATCAGTTGCCGTGCTTACCTCAGCCATACACAAGTGCACAGTAAAAGCTCAACATAAGCAAGTTCAGATAGAGTTTCTTAAAAGACCCTTAGTGCAAGCACTGAAACCAGCCTCTGCTTCCAGAAGTCAGGCTGGTTTGCTCCTACTGGAAAGTATCAGCCAAGCCGTGTCTATATTCCAGCTTAAATTCCCACTTCAAACAAAGCATGAAGTATTGAGAAGCGAGTGGCTGGAATACGAGACAGATGTTATCCTCCACTTTCTGAAACATTTACTCGTCATAAGGAGCCTGTAAAATGCAACACTGACTGAGCTACTGCACTCCCAAATTCCTTCCAGACTCCCGACTAAATTTCCTCTGGGCCTGGCAATGTTGTGTTGCTTCCTCTGGCACTTTGCTCCCCTGCCTTCACTGCGCTGCCTTGGGTCGCACCCTCCTGGCTGACCGGCCTGAGGCGACTGCTTCGCCCCAGGCTCTGGAGCCAAGGCTGAAACAAAGAAACATGCCCTGTGTCCCATCTCATTTTCTTTAATTTCTTCTTCGCTATTGATCATTTTCTCTTCTGTTTTTAACTCATCTCTTTTCTCATTTACCTTCTGTTTCTAACAATCTCAGAAGTGTGTTTTTTATTTTCCTCTGACCCTCAATCTTCAAATTCCCTCTGAACTCGCACACCTTTTACAGCTCCTTTCCTGCTAGCATCATTTTGGCTTTCATTTGATTGGCTTTTAATTTCCTGAAGCGTTTTTGGCATGGGTAATATACTGCATTTTGGGGTGTGAAAACAGTAAAATGTTTTTTCCCTTGTATTCCTGCTTCTTTTGTAATTCCTATATACAAGCCCTACATCCCCTATGAAGATTTCTGTGGAAGACTTAACTTTACTTAGATCAAATCTCATTTTCCTCCTTGCACAAGGACACACATCCAGCAATCTGTCACACAGCAGAGAAACTGGGGTTAGGACAGTAGGGCTGGGGCTTCACTGATGTGAGAGGCAGCAGATTTAGGTCTAAGGGCATGAGTTGAACATTTTACTTCAGTACCCACCCATTGGTACGCTGTGTGCCATTTCCCATACATACTCCCAACAGAACAAGAGATCTATTTCATGCATCTCTGGCACCTTTTCCGTAAAAAGCATATTAAATAAAATGCTTTTTAACTAAGTGCTCTTGTGTGATGTGTGGTTGCCCATGAAACTACTAGATGGTTAAATGAAGCTAAATGCAGAGTAAAATCAGCAGAACTCCATACTAATGCAAGTACCAGTATGTGTAGTCTGGCCTTTCTATTGCTCATTAACCTCTAGAATAAACATATTTTAGCATCTGCTCTACTGCCAGCACTTAATCCTGTGGTTGTTGCATGTAAAAGAACAGGAGTCAACATTTAGAGAAAAACCTCAGAAAGCTTAGACAATTATCTCAGGCATCCTGGCGAGAGCTCAACAGTATCAGAAAGCTTTGGTAAAAGCACAAAAGAAGATCAACAGAACTTTTCATGAAGCAAAAAGATGACATTTCCATTGCTCATGAGAACGTACTGGCAGGATGATGCGATAGTCCATACTGGATGGTACAGCTGAAAAGTAGCTGTCACGGGCACCTCTGCATTCTGCACTAAACCTCAGAGTGGTTGGTTTCTTGACCAATTCATTCTTGAATCCACTCATCCTGTAGGAGTTCTGACAGACAGAAATACTTTTTTTTTTTTTTTCAAATAAAACCAGCATAGGATCTTGCCCTGTCTAATACAGTGGAGCTCTTCTGACTGATACCAGCTCATGAGCTGGCTCATCTATCATTTAGCCCATGTTGAACAAGTATAAGCTTCACAAACGTGTCTTAACTAAAGGAAAGTGGCTTGTGTACTTTGTGAAGCTTAAACCAGTTCACAGAACATGTGCAGGGAAAGCACGTGGTGTTTAAGATTTAGAGCTAGGTTCAGGTGCTCTTGTGGTTTGGGTGTTACCATTAAAGCTCAATGTAACAAATATGGGGTTATTTTAATCTTCTATAACTGCATGAGATTCGGATTTTAATTGACTTCTTCCCTCCTGAACTCATCTCATAAAGTATACTAGGTATATCTGCTGAGTAAATAGAAGACAATAATGTGTTTAAATGTTTGTCTAGAGAGTTTCTTCCACCCAGAACTGAAAATCAATATAGCTCTGAGACATCTTTTGTTAATATAACTTTTTCTTTCAGCATGTTTCTAACACATTTAATATTTTTCAGTGTTATCTTGCTGGCACTGAAAGTCCAAGCCGTGTTGGCAGATCCCTGAACTGGGACTCCAGAGACATGGATTCTACTCTTGGAGCCATTTTTAACATCTTGGACAAGTAATTACAGCTCTCCAGGCCCTTATATCCATTCCAGCCATTCCCTTTTGGGCCTTGTTTCTGTAAAGATGTATGCATGTATTTGGTTGTATAAACTAGGAAGGTATTTAGCTAACTGCATGACTGTGAGCAGTCTAGTGACTTAAAGTTACTGTTAAATTCAGTGTTCAAGCCTTTGAAAGATGAAGTTTTGTATTGCACGCTCTTAGACTGTGCCAAATTGGATCGACTTGCCTACAGAGTTTGATGCTCCCAAATTCAATCCAGCCTCTGTATGTAGCACCCCAAAAAGCCAGTGGTTTTTGTAGGAAGGAATGCCAAAAATTCCAGCAAACTGTGGCAGTTGTGGAGCATTTTAGAATTAAGTAGTTCCACAAACCCTTAGCAGCAGGCACCTGAGCACAAGCTTTCAAAGCTTCCACATATGACAGTACCAGTTTTCCTCAGCACAGTGGGCAGAGACATTCACAGCACCCTTGTCTAACCTCAAAATCAGATTTCAGGCTTGAGGTTGGGCAGGGGGGAAACTTCAGGTGAATTGCATCTATCTCTGGGCTCGTACAAATAGCCTGAATTTGCTGCCCTGTGCTGAATACTGTCAGGCTGAAAATATACATGAGAAAAATACGCTCCATTTCCCCCCGAAATCAGCCTATAAATAACATGTGTGGTCCAGAATGGCTCTGATCTCACATTAGGAATAGAAGCTGTGGTGCAACAGTGACAACAACAAAGAGAGGGGAATTGGTTAAGTACTTTGGGGGTTAAAATCTGTGCCCTGAACAGTAGATTTTATGGCCAAAAGTGACTCTTCTGTAGTCTCATTTATTATTGCAAAAATGATTGGAACTGGGGACCATGACACTATTACCTGTTACTGCAGATTTATTGAAAATTAGCAATTCCATTTGTATCTATGAGATTTCAGGGATTATTCCGTTATAGACTAGAAAACTGATAGATTTATAACTGTGGCGAATCTAGTTGTACCAACTAATAGAGCAAGTGAGAAAATTTAGAGGTTTGTACTCCTAAAGGAGTTAACCTCTGGATAAAGAAACATTTTTCAAGTAGCATCTGAGAAATTATTGGATCCATAAATTGTCACTGCTGTAGCATGAAAAATATCCATTTCCCGGGCTTTATGTTTTTGTTCAAGAAAGATACAAAAAGGAAAAGTTAGTACCAAAAAAAAAAAAATCACTCCACTCAGTGTCCTGCTGTAATTGCTACTGTACCTTTTGTTAACCCTTTGGCATATATTGGCAGAGCTTGCCCCGCTGGCCCTAAGGAAATTTTCGAGCTACGCGTCTTCTAAATTCATTAACATTGTATTGACTTGGGTAAATTTGATCTAACTTTAATTTTGATTTTTGTGCACTCACTGGACTTCTTAAAAATTGAATCAAACTTTCAAAGGTATTAAATACATGCCAGGACATCTTGCCTTTTTTTTTTTTTTTTTTTTTTTTAATATGAGAGATCTCTGACAGTGGGTGAGGCTTGTGTAATTCACTAAAATGATCTTAAAGCTCCAAACTCCACTTTCCTAGTGGAGTTTGCCACTAGCAGCCTGCCACAGGGATGCCCTGCACACAGGCAGCTTCTAGTAGCTATGTCCCCTGCTGCCACACGGTGAGCACTGTTCATACAAACCAAAGCATGTCCCTCAGACACCCAAGTACCATGACTTGTGGCACAACATTTGAACTTGGCTGAAATCATTAACGATACCATGATAATACATGAGGATGAGTTTTGCTCTCCCTCTAATGCAGGTCTGTGGGGCAAAGTAAAGCTCATACAGTACCTCGAGGTTGCTGAGAGCTCCACGGTTGGCAGCTAGGGCACGTGGCTCTGATCCCTGTCTTTTATCTGCTGCAGATTGGAGGCCAGCACTCGTAATGCTGGCAGGACCAGATGCATGTCCACTGCCTGATCTGTAAGACAAAATGAGATGAAACGAATGTGTATGCTGGACAGCCGTTAATTAAAAGAACAGCTCATTTTGGAGTAAAATACACCATTTGCCTTATTGAACAGCACAGAGCTGCTACCTCTGCATGGCTGCTTTAGCACTGATTATTGCCTCTTAAGGAGTGAAGCTGGGTTTGCTTCTAGACTCAGCAATGCTGAGTGAAATCATATAACTTCCTTGGGACTAACCCAACTTAAATTATGTTTCAGCTTGATAGTTGTAAGAATTCAAGCTTGGAGACTGGACTGGGAAGAATCATTTTTGATATTATTAACTTATTACTATTTTTGTTCAAATTACATATATAGATAAACAGATTTTTTAAATTACTTTTAAAATACTCCAAGGTTTAATATATCTCTAAAGCTACAGGTGCTAAGGTCTGAAAAAGAAAGAAACATTGAATTTCAGTTAAAAGTAATCCAGAGTACTCACACTTCTAAAGGGGAAGAAGAATGACAAGCATTTGCAATATGGACCACATCTCCATCCCAGTGGCATCAACAGATTTTGGTTATTAACTTTGGGAAAGAGGAAAATACTTTATCTGAGAATCTCTAAGGAAAAAAGCCCCTGAAATTATCCCACCATTTCACAATCAATAAGGCAAAAACAGAGCACGCAGAAGTTATTTATGATTCCATCATGCCGTTATAACACTGCCTGTAACTTGAGAATAAAGCATTTCTAAGCATCCAGTGTTTGATGTGAGCCACAAACTGAGTTTCAAATGCCCAACAGAATTTTTATTTCTGCTTATTATTTAATACAAACTTAAGCATGAGACACTTCCAGCTACCATTTGAAAAAAATAATTCTGAAAAAGAATACCTTCTTTCCTGTATTCTACTACAAAAATGGTGCTGGATTTTTACTCCGGATAAATCAGCACAGCTCCAACAAAGTCTGAGCTATCGCCATTTACATCATCTCAGAACCCAACTGGCATGCAATGCTTCTCTGATTACAGATGCAAAATATCCCTGCTTGGCTGAATTCCTTATCCCTTAACCAAATGTGGAACTAGTCATAGAGCTACACATGTGTATCTGACTTGGCCGTAATACTGAATTTTCTCTCCTTGCAATGTAAGGGAATTACCTTTCAAAGATCAGACACTATCGCTTTACAACCATAGTAACTCCTGTATGCTAGTTTAGTGCAAGAAAATATTCTTGAGTATATGTGAAAGATTATTTCTTGTACCTTTTTAAACAAATGGGCAAATATGACAGACTACAAATTCAGTTTATGTATCACTCCTGTTCTAAGGAATACAATTACAATTGTATCACTCCTGTGATACAATATTGTATCACAGGAGTGATACAATATATTGTATCACTCCTGTTCTAAGGAACAGGAGTGATACAATATATTTGGTAGTGTTTATTCACTACTCTAGGCTAAACCATCTCAAAACTTTGATGATCTTTCTTTCATTATGATGCACTGCCTTATCATACACAAGTTTCCTGAGTTGAAAGGAATGTTTTGTGCTTCAAAGGTGGTAAACTCAGGACCATAATGCAGCACAACCCCTGCAAGAAGCAGGTCCTAACCTCGAGGTCTCACTGCTCACTGAGACATAGCTTGAAATACGAACTGTCAACAGGGAGGGACTTTGCCTGTCTGCTTACCAACAATTTGTAGATGTGGGGAAAAGAAAAAAAAGTTACAAGAAAAAAAAACCCTTAGATTTTAGAGTTCTGGTCCACTTGAAGTCCTGGGTAAGCCAACAGGCAGCTTGGTCTGGAGAACTGATGAATTCATGATTTTCAGAAAGCTGAAAGTTGGTGTATGTCAAGAGTAAGGACAGATTCAAGAATGATGTGAGGCAACCAGTGAGAAATTGCTTAACTAAACAGAAAATGTTTAGTCTCCCAAACAGCTGCTGAGTACCCCCAGGAATACTTTTCTTTATTTAAAGAAATTGACAGTGTCACAATATCTCTCTGCTTTAATATATGAGTGCATTTGTACTTCAGGCTACTGTGGAGGGAAGCGCTGTAGCTCAGAGCCAGGAAATAAAAAGGTAGTTCAACAAATAGTGAGTAAGAGAGCAAGAAGACAGGCTACGTTCTTCATGTAAATCAAAGTTGTTCCAGAAAGGCTTAGAAAGAGAGGTTGCTATTTTCAACTGAGAGTCAACTGAAAGTTAATGGGGACATTGCTAAAGATCACAGACAAACGGTTACTGTACTTTTAATGAATATTTTATTCATGTCACCTTTAAATTAGTTAAATTCGATAGGATGATAATGTAATGCAAAATGGCTTCCTCCCCAGACCATTTCAGGTAGAGGGTAGATCAGAATTTAATTTTAGGGTAATGCCAGGTCAAAATTAAATTTAAAAAATTATGGTTTGAAAGTAATAAATCTAAAGTGACCACTGGAAAAAAATACTAAGTTAATGAGATGTGTAAGCCATTTAGAAAACCGCAGATATATTATATGACATCTATTTTTCTTACCTGGAAACAGGCCATTTTAATACCTGCTGATAGGGATGAAAGGGGAGAAAGGAGAAGAAGGGGCACTCTTAAAGCTATTGCTATCCGGTCTTGATAAAGTTATGAAGAAAAATGTCAAAAGTTCAGCAATAGGAATATTCATCATTTGATCAGCAAGGTTGTTTAAAACTTAAGACTCCTAAATCCTCTTTCGGGTATCTAAATACGTGTTCTGCTTTTCAGAGCTCTGTCACTCACATATGCCAAGGAAATTGTTAAAAAAATTAGGGTGATGCAGCTTAATCAACCAAGAGGTATGAGATGGGGCCCAGACTACATTGGTATGTGTCTCATCCCTCTCCTTTTACGTATCGTGAAGCCAGCACACGTGAACACAAAGCATATACAAGGGGTCTCACAATTTCAGTCTGTTTTTACACAGCCATAACAATCTCGTGGACACCATGCTTCCCTGGGTTATTCTCCTTCCTCAAAGGAAGGCGGTCCTGGAGAATGCCAATGAAGGGACCAAGGGACAATTAAAGCAGCAGTCTGCAAAGAAGGCAGGGAAAGGAAAAGTTTAACTCACAGAGCATCTAATTTCTGTTCAAATTCAACATTAAAAAGACACTCCCAGATAGCATGACAGAAAGTGATGACATCAGATCTTTCTTAGCTTTGAAAGATCACTGTCATTTGTAGGTTGCACCAGAGCTAAGTCAAGATGAAATGTAGGGCCAGGTTTTGCCCTTGATGCGGGTTGTCTGCCTGCCCAGGGATGCTCCTGAAGATGCTCGAACTTGGGAAGGCACAGAGGCTGTAGGGGCAGGTAAAACCCAGTGCAGCAGCCACAGGTGGGAACATACAGCAAGAAGAACAAGCTACACTAAAACGAGGTCCGAGAGAAAAGAAATATGAAAACTGAGCTGCTCAGAAAGGGGCAAATTCATTTTATGCAAAGACATTAAAGTACATCATGATGTAAAACTACAGTGTGATTGTTCCCTTGCTAGAGAGCTTTGGTTATGTGAACATGAGTATTGTTGCAATTAAGAAAAACGCGCTCAGGGAGATTCAAAAATTAAACAAGTTACCTGACTCCAAGTTATTCCTGGCTATTCTGGTGGCAGTACTATGGCTGCTTAAGCCGAGCACGTCTGCTCCTTTCAGATGCTGCATTAGCCATGCTGCAAGAAGGCTGACACTACGCTAATGGGCGCTACCATCCCCAGGATCCCCCTCTGGATCAACTGCAACCTGAAGCGAGAGGTAGGAGACTTCCTGCCTATGGAGGGATACATCAGATGATCGCAATGCTTCAGCATCCAGTGGCAACCAAACATGTTTTGGGTATGCTCTCAGGTGTCGGTGTTATTTCACAAAATCTGAAGTGAAAGCTGGGTACAGATGGACATTGCTTTCCCCTCTGCAAAAAAAAAAAAAAAAAAAAATGAGAGAAAGCTGTGAGGATCAGCCCCACCACGCCGTGAGTACAGACAGTGAATGCAGAGCGCTGCCCAATGCTGAGCAGGGCCATGCTGGGCCTCTCATAATCAGGCCATAAATTATTCTAATTTGTTGTCCCTACCAGGCAGCTCATTGATGAGCTAGAATGGTCATCAGGTCTATAAATTATTATTATTGTAATTTTTTTCTTTCTTTTTTGGCATGGATGCTGGCTTTAAGCAATGCCTTCTCAAGGCTCAGCTTGATAATCCTTTTCAAGCTTTTATTTAAACTCTCTAAAAGCAAAAATGAATTAGAAACTGGAAGAACACAAAGAAGCTAGAAAGAGAAGATCAATAACTCACATAACACAGCAGTAAACAAACTGGAACAATTACAGTGAGAGATGGGTATTGATCAATATCAGGAGAGCTCATATGCTGGCACCTCTGTTTATACTAGACCTCAATTATATTCTTACTTTCTCATAATATAACTGCATTCTACAATTTTTATTACCAATGAGAATTTAATTCCCTTATATTAATGAATAATAGCCGTATAATGGTTTTAGGCAGTTGTTTCTATCAGTAGATCTCCCAATCAGCACAATTTTGACTGCCCAGTGCCCTGTGTCGCTGTTATGTGTTAGTGACTGGAAAGCTGAGCTGCAGATTGCCCAGCTGACCTTCCTGCAGCCAAGGGCAGGGGCAGAAGCTGAGCCCTGGGGACTGTGTTCTGGCAATACTAATCCCTGTAGACCTTCCCAAAGGGTGACTTTTTTTTCTTCTTTCTCTCTCCAATTTGCAAGCATCCAACCAAACTGCTCAGACCTGCACTTTACTGTACTGGAAGAAGCAGCCGAGGACCTGCACACCAGGCATCCAACTCCGCCTGGAAGAGTTTTAAATAAAGCTCTTTAACTCTACATAGATCTGCTCTTTATGCTGAAAGAGGCACCAGTATTTACTAAACTGCTAAGAGGCCTCAGGACTGGAGTCCTCCCTGTTCCGTTTTGTTGTTTTGTTTTGTTTTTTTCCCCAGCACTGCCTCTCACAAAATACGCAAGCTGTTCAGCTCACAGCGGGCTGAGGACATTTGCTTCCACTTCCCTCTCAGGTATTGGGCTACTCTGCAAAGTCATCACTTACATTTTGTTCTGTTACATGAGTCAGAGTCAAATTGAGCTGGAACTTTGTGGGTTTGACTTAATGAGACGTATCAGCACCAGCACAGCTTTCCTTTTCTTATGCAAGCTGTGTGGAAGTGCTCCCTCACAGCTATCCGAGGTGACTGGGTTTTAACTTAGCACACACAGCAATCCGCAAGCCTGCTTCCATGAACTCTGACTTAAAAAGGCAAGTGGCTAAAGGATAGTCAGGTGAGGTCTGTCCTGCTTAGAAGTTTCTTCTGTAAAATAAACACATTTAAAAAAATACCCATATTTAAACAGAATCCTATTCAGCATTGATATTGGAAATCAAGCAGTGAAAAGGTAAAAATGATTGAAAAAAAAGAACCAAAGTTTATAATACACAAAATAATCTATGATAAACTTTAAAGCTTTTTTTTTTTCCCTCAAGAGTCTGAATCATATCATTCTAGTTTAAAAAATAAAATAAAATAAAACAGCATGTTAACAGATTAAATGGTTGGGTTTCAAGCCAGTGATTTGAAACACCTACAGAAATGTTAGCAAAAATGTCCATAGTCCAGAGATCACCCATAATGTTTCAAATTGGAAAAAAAAATTTTTCAACAAGAATTCATTTACTGTTAACAATTTCAATGAGCTCAATTCGAAAAGTAGAGTACCGAGAGTCGTGGTGAACATCAGCAGACATAAACAGTACAGGGAAGCTATGAGATGTATTCAGGCTTGATGATCAAAGACTGCTTTAATGGTAACAATCCCCGTAAAACAGACCTAAGGTCAGGATTTTGATAGATCACACAAAGTACAGAAAAATTCAGGAAATCTACCTCTGCCTCAGACAGATAGTGAGGTTAGATTTGTGTAATAACGTGTGTGAAATTCAATAATGGCTTGTTGCAAGCTTTGAATGGAATTTACCCCCAAAGGCTCACGTGGCCTGTTTCCTTCCATCGTATCCCCCATCCCATCCCTCACCCCTCTTCCTTTCTTGTATCCTCCCCTTTGGGAAAGCTGAACACACTGCTGGGTGAGGTTCCCCAAGGAAGAGGGCCAGAACGTGCCCCCTGTCCCTCGGGAGGCAGAGGCAGGGACACCCAGCCATGCCATGAGCCCGGGGCGGATTTGTGCTGCCTTCGCTGCACGTCACCAACAACCCTCTGCAGCAAACAGCTCACCCTCAACTCGAAGGACAACCTTCGGTGCCAGGGCAGTACTGAGGAAATAACAAACAGGCTGTGGCCACATCTGCGTCCTGCCCACGAGAAGCTGTCCCCAGCAGAGAGGGCAGAGAGGCACTGAAGCTAAACGAGCAGTGGACTGGAGCTGGTAGCATTTTTTCACCCTCTCATTGCCCCAAATACAGTGTTACAACATCTCTAAAGAGATGTTTCTCTGAGCATCCAGGAAAGAGCACTGAAGTTGTATCCATGTCCTGTTTCTGTATTACAAGCTTTACCGTTTTTTTACCTCTCAATTTTTTTCATTTTCTTTTTGAAAACCCATTGTGCCTTTCCAGTTTAGTTTTTATTCCGATCCATCCCTCAGCTGTCTTGACATTCTGGTGCTCTTCAAAAATCCATCACTGATTTCCTTATAATCCTAACACAAAATGGACAATATGCTAAAGGAAAACCGCCTTGCGAAGTTGCCAAAAGAGCAATTCCAATCTAATTAGGAGTTCGTACTGCTTCAGTGAAAGCAGCACAAACACTGTTAATATTCACTGCAGCTGCTTTGTCAATAACTCCCAGTGAATCCTCCAATTTATAAGAAAAATCAGGAAACTATTGGATTCTATGACACTGATAGATCTATCAGTATTCATTGCCCCCATCCTCTGCAACATGAGGCACAAATGCCAATAACTCTAACAGTCCCTTAAATGCTGAAGGATCATTATTAAAGTGTGCTTGGCATCCCTGGTCATTAATTATAATCTTGTGCACATATGCAGTGTGATTGCAGGAAATAATCAGCTTTGTCTGCCAAATTGGCAACATTTAGAAACTAATTTGTTATGACATACCATCAAAGATATTTAAACAACAAACCCAAAGCTCTGCTGCACTGCGCACACTGTTAAAATATCAGATCACATCATTAAAAAATAGTTAACATATCCAAGGGGAGGTAATATTTATCCTTGAACCCTGGTTCAAGTGGAGTTTTCAGAAAGAGCAGCTTCACCCTCTCTCCCTCGCAGCTCACAGGCAAGGAAACTCTCTCCAGAGTGACGGGCGGGGGGAGGCGAGGACCGAGCCTACACCACGGACGCGCTGTCAGTCAGGAGCTATTAAATGGCCATTGAATAAATGTTTGCCAAGAGCAAAGCTTACCCAGGATTACCGCGCTGCTCAGCGGATTCATTTAGAGACTTTAAGCTCATATTTATCTGTCTAATTTCCTTCACAGGCCCTGCTGCCTCTCTCACCCACCTGGCGGCAGGACGCGGTCCCCACCTTTCTTTTCCTCAGACCTACAGTCAAAGTATTAAAATATGCATCAAAAGAAAAACAAAAAATAAATACCGAGCTATGCTTTCATCCAGGAAACAAACCTCTTTTTTTTTTTTTCTCCTATAAATGAGAAGAATGGTTTAAAAACAATAAAGCAGATTATGTGCTTAATCTTTTTTAAAGAAAAGAGTTGAACTATGGCTACAGTTATTATTAAGAGAGCACGAAATATGGATGTTATCACCAGAGAGAAAAGCTGAACATGCAGGTTTTTATGCAGCCTTTTCTGACACTTTTTCCTTTACATGCTGTTTCCTCCTTGGACGTTATTGCTTATGTTCCTGTCCGTAACAGGAGTCCAGCAGCCCAGTTACAACTGAGCACAGAGAACACGAGGAGAACTGACAAGTGCAAAGCACTTAACTGATGTAATTGCTCCTCCATTCTTACAGTAATGACGTTTTACTCCAGGAGATTGTACTTCAGCAGAATATTTTGTTTGGTTTATGCGACAATTTCCTACTCTTTTCCCATGTTTGCGCAGAAGACCATGTTCCATAGTACTGAAACTGCAGTTAAGAAATCACAGTTTTGTACAAATCCATTTCAGCAGATTTTCAATTGCTGTCATCAGCCACTGAACCAACAATAACATCTTTCTTTCTTTCTTTCTTGTGGAGTTCTGTAGCTTGTAACTAATTTCAGAACGAAGTCTGAAATGCTTGAAAAGAAACAATATTTTATTCCTAAAGCAATACCACATGTATTGCTTTAACAGTTTTTAAATCTATGCTTCCCAAGGATACTTCTTGAAATAAGATGTAGTAAAAAGATCTCAAATCCATCATCATCAAAAGACAAGCTATATCAAAAGGTACTTCAGATTAATAACATCTATTATATTAATATTCTTTATTTTTTTCCCATATTTTCAAAGAAAAATAATAGTTAAAGACTTCTAATCAGCTCCTCAGAAATAAAGCAAAATTTTCAACACAACTGTATAGATTTCACTATAGTATTAGCTTTTAGCCTTTCAAATAAGTAACTTGCATAGACTTATTTTTTCTTTTAGTTTCTTGTCTGATTGCACAGTAATAGATGTGAACAAACTATAACCCAAACCACCAAAACAAGGACATTGGTAAAGCTTATTCTCTCAGTTGTCACAACACCACTAGAGATAAATGCTTATCCTAATGGGAAGCTCAAAATTTTAACTAAAGCTTTTCATATAAATGGTATAAGATCATGAAAGTACCATACTGTATGTAGGTTTTAATACAGTGTTCTTAAAATAAGCAGATAGAGAATTCATAATGCCTTTTAATCGGGACACATTTTACCTTGAAAACTTCTATTACGGTCTACCCCATTAAGGGCAATGTTTAAATAACAAATAATAATATGGTTATAATTATTTTATTCCTTTCCCTGTTTAGATAAAAGTTATTCAGCATTTACATAAAGGCCTAAAACACTGGCCTTGGAAACAACATCCTTTCAGACAAACCATTTCAAATTAAATGTCCAATGAACAATGCCTTTCTGCTGCGAGCCAAACCCCACACTGCACAAATTAACAGAAGCCCAATAAAGCCCTGAGCCAGCGCGCTGTGCCTGGAGGCACACGGCTAACACGCGGTAAGGACAGCAGCCATTGTCTCCTGTGCATTGCAGGAGATTCAATATGGGAAATGAAATACCTCAGGAGAAAAACAGAGAAAGTACAGACTGAACCTCACGTAACTCTGGCTCTGCCGGGTTTGTCTGGACGCTTTCTCACAAGATGGAGGGGAGCTAGGATGGCACACGGTGCACTGACCTTCGTGGCAGCCACAGCGCAAGTTCCCCTTATCAGCGCCAAGCCACGGTGATGCCATGGTGCAACCACATCATTGTCAGCACCCGCAATCCCACTGCTGGGGGCGAGATGAAAAGGAGGTGCTCTGAGGAGGCGGAAAGACCATTTGTACAAGGACAAGCTCCTTGAGGCCCTCTCTCTCCCTGCTGAGACGTTATTTCCCATGCTTTAATCAGTCTTGTCATTACTCTCCGACCGCTCCCCAGTTGTCAGTACCCTAGAGTTATGGAGAGGAGAACTGCACTCATGGAGAATGCCAGCAGCAGTCACGCCAGTTCCAAAAGCAGACGTAACAGCCTCTCTTATTCTCTTGAAATTTCCCATTTTGTACATTCAGGAATGTCCCTAGTCCCTGCGGCCAAGGTGTCCCCTCAGAGCTCGCGCCCCCCTGATGGCCCACAGCACACCCAGGGAGGCAAGCTGCGTCCTCCCCTCACAGGAGCTCCAGAAGAACAGCTCTCCACTTACAGCTCCTGATTTTACTACTTACGCTTTTAAACTGGGGGCGAGCACGATGCTGCCAGTGACTTACCCTTGGAAAGATAATAAAAAGCCCTGCCCTCCTTGATCCCCCGCTCTGCTGCACAACGCACCCGCCCCGGAGCTGCTCGCCTCAGCAAGTGACCACAAAATGGCGGCGACTCCTGCTTTGAGCGGCCTGCTGCGGCTGGCTCCGCCTGCGCCTCGTCAGCCTCCCTCGTGAGGGCTGCAGGGTCCTGGCAGCTCCCTCAGCTGCCCACGGTTGCCTCGATGCCGAAAAAAAGCCCTGCCCGTCCCGATCCGCAGCTCCACTTCACAATGTGTCTGCCCCGGAGCCGATCGGAACAGACGCCCTTTTCAAATCAGCAAGTTCATTTTGCTGCTGGGGCTGTACCTTGCTTACAGGCAGCACCAGTACTCGAGCTATGGTAATCTACGTTAAAACAATTGCTAATTTGTACTTGTGTGGTCAATTTTTCTGTCATTGTGAGGTCTAACACAGAATTCCCCATGACAAATTCAGTTCTTCAGGGCAGTGACATTTCATTCCTCACTCTGTCCTCCAGACTCAGCTCCTCATGTTTCTGCTCTCTTCTTGTGTGCACACAGATGCCACAGGAGCTGGCGACCTGTCGTAGATCACAAGCTCTCCTGGATCTGATCATCTCAACCAGCTTCCTGCCTGCCACTTCTGTAGCATCCTTGATAGCTACAGAAACCACACAGAAAACTATGTAGTCCTTGTGTGCCACTGAGCCTTCTCTGACGGATGGTAGTGCACCGCTCCTGATTTTACTACTCGTGCGTTTGAACTGGGAGCAAGTACGATGTGCTTAGCACATCATGTGCTGTTTGCCACAATAAACTTCTGGGATTGACATTGTGAACAGTTACCACATAAATATCCTAACTTGTCCTGGATAAATAAAAAGAAAATTAGAACTCAGCATCCCATTCTTTTAACACTGGTGCTGCCAGTGACTTACCCTTGGAAAGATAATACTTATCGAGCGAGTTCATAAGGCCATTGGGAGAATTATTTACTTGCTATGCTAAAATTAATTATGTGAACTGCTGCATAATGGATCAGTAATGTTTCCTCATTGTCATCATCATGAAGTATACTTCATTCATTTGTCAAAGAAAATATATATACTGAAAAAATACTATGGGTATTATTTGCAAGCTCCACAACTTTTCAATTTCAAAAATAGAAGTCATTCTTCTCCATAGCAAAATGTTTTCCAAAGAGACATGCAAAATCGAAATATGTTTTTCTCTTTCAAATACTGAAGGGTAGTCTGAAGACAAAAATAAAGCACACCCTCCCTGTATCTACCAGTACTTTTGTGTGGACTCCAGTATCTATGTAGTTGAAGACAGAAAATCAGCTAGTCAATTTCTATAACAAATATAAAATGCTTTTATATTTTAAATCTAGACTTCTAAAAGTCTTTGTCTTGCTCCAGGAATCCTAATGCCTATTTCGTAGATCCTTGGGGAAATTAGGAAGCTACTAGACAAGTTAATGCTTCGAAGCTGTAATTTTTTTTTTTTATTATTATTATTTTTAATTCTTTTTTTTTTCCTCCTTTAGATCTTGGCATATTTTAAACAGAAAATTTTAATAATAATTATGGATATATTGACCTCTCTGTACTCTTAGGCTGGCCACTCAAGTGAAGTAGATTTTAACCAGCTCCCTGTAGGATTCTGTCAGCTTCCCATGTTGCTGTGCTGTGGCACTTCTTGCATTCCTCCTGAAAGTTGCCTAATTCTGCCTTAAGGTTTGACTTCCTGCAGAAACACTTTGATGATTTTGTTCATTTTGTTACATCTCCTGAAGAATTTAATGGGTAAATGACACCTAGCCAACTGCAAGCCTGTCTGTAAAAATGCTGCTCTGTAGGGCTACGCCAGCAGATCTTCTAGCTATAGCTTTCTGTGGTAATGTTGGGAGCTCCAGTGGAAGGAAGGTTTCAGGGGTTTAATTGCATAATTTAGTTTTTCACTTGATAACAGTGGACCTGACCTATCTGCAATATAATCTGCACTAACACTCTCACTTGTGAAGCCCTCTGCTGTTGCTGAGACTTTGGATGAGACAGAAAGCTGTCCAGAAGTCCCTCTCTCAGATGTCAACAAAAGCCTGAAAACTTTCAGGATTTGAATCAGGCCCCTGAGATGTGATTTTGAGAAAACTGAAGCTTGACAGAGGCATACAGAGACTCACCTAACAGTGTAACACTGCCCTACACAGAACTGTGGTTTTGCAAAAAAAGGGCCTTCTCTCTGCAAAGCAACTAAACCTGAGTCATCACTGAACTGCACCCAGAGTAGCTTTAGAGATACGGAAAATATCTGGGGTTTTGGCATTATTACAATAAATAATCAGAGCAAGTTTTGTGGAAATCCTGAAAATCTAACGTCTTATGCACCTTTTTTTTTCCTCTTCCCCTTTTAGCTAGGCATCATTATGTCCCAGCCTATCACTGGAAATACAGAGGAGTGGACTATGGCAAGGAAGAATCAGTTTCTGTTCTCTGGTACTAAGCCTGCTTGCTGCAACTTCCACCTCACCACTACAGATCTGGTATGTGTTTTCCCGGATAAGCCGAACCAAAAAGGAAAGATATGTGTAAATGTGAGAATCGATCACAGGTTTGACACTTGTGTCACTCTAACTGATGCAATTTAGATGTTCTTCCACCGAAATCCTACACTAGTACTGCCAATGTCAGATAAAGAGTTCACATTACTTTCAAATGTAGGAACATAGTTTACAATAAAATACACTTTGGACTGAAAAACTGCACTTACGTCCAGTCTGAACCATGCAGAAATCAGTTTCTTAATGCTCTATCTCTGATTTGAATGTCAGCTCCCTACACGAGTTATCACCATTTAAGTCAATACATTTACCACAATAAAAGAGAAGTGCCATCCCAGAGGCTCCACTATGTTTATGTACATAAAGACAGAGAAAGACTGAATGAACATGCTTTTCTTATCCGTTTTATACCCACTCACTAACATGCAGAGGCATACAGAATCTTTCAAATTCATTTTACAGTCCTGGCAAACAAGGCAGATGTCTGGAGTCTGGACACAGGGAGAGGTGGAGCTGGCTCTGTACCCTACAGCAAATCCAGGACGGGTACAAAACATCTGCAGTCTTACGGGACACTCGGAACCTTTTTAAAAATGAATATGCCTCCTAACTCAAAAGAAGCAATTTACATACAGATATATTTCCCAAATATCTCCCTGCTTCCTGAAAGCAGAGGATACAATTATTTCAATCGATGCGTTGCCGCATGCCTTATTCATAACCTGATTTACGGAAGTGAAGCTGGAATTTAAAAGCAATCTAGATGCACTTGACTATCTACAAAGACAATGAATTATTTTTTTTATTGTTAACAGTGCTGCTAAAAATTAGGTGTTTGGTTATTCAGACCTTCCATATAAAAAGCCTATAGCTCAGTCATGTAAAACTGGCTCTATTTAAGTAGTCCTGAAGTAAGTATTTAGCTGCTTCGATAGCTTTAGTTCTCAAAATGCAGAGACATGGAACACCCTGAAATGAATCTTTATTTTTTTTTTGTTGTTCCTTGGCAGGACTGCTATCTTTTCATGTTCAGTGCCAGGCAAAAACTTCTTGTACCTCTGTTGCTGAGGAGAACAAGAACAAATGATGACAAGCTGATATGAAAGAAATTGTTTCTAGCACTTCAGGACAGTTCACTTGGCTTAATGTCACAACATATATATCGAAAATTCATGATTTACAGTAAGAAAGCAGGTTTTTGACTCTTTAGTGAAGGGAAGAGAGCTATGCGTATGTTACCAGTAAGAAGTTTTAATCATTACCATCATAAGGGATGAAGTTTCCCTACAAAGAAAACCTGGTGGTGAAAGAAAGTTTCTAAGTGGGATCTCCTGCACTTTCTCTTCCTAATTGCTTGGAGAGCCTCTTCCTTCAGCTGCATAAATGTTCTGCCCCAGGAAGATGTAGCTTAGCATTATGGCTAAAGAGATTGAGGCCTTTGTAACAGTTTAATAGCAAAACATAAGATTTTAAAAAAATCATTAAAGCAAACACAGTTTCCTCAAAAATGCAAGTTTTTGAAACATGCTCATAAAAACAAACAAACAAACAAACAAAAAACTTTTTCCAGCATTTTATACGTAGAATTCTATGTTTACGTGCATAATACACACATATATGCACACATACACACGTATCACAAACATGCATATATATGCATGCTTTTTATACTTGCTAATAACAATTGTATAGGACCTCAGTCTGAGGTCAAAACTTCATTATGCCAGGCGTCACACGAACACAAAACACTTCCAAGAGTGCTTGTACCTGAAATGTAGGGCAAGGCACAGTGTGTGGTTACAGACAACAAACCCAATGTGATTAACACTGGTCAGCTTGGTGGGCAGAGGCTTCAGCAAGCCAGCAGCCTGGCTGCTGCAATGTTTATACATAATACTTTCTCAACAGAGTTTTAAGAGGGGACTAAAAGGAGATAATAGAATAGCCCTACAAGCATCTAAGAAGGACTCTTCTTCACCATGATATAAATTCCATACGTCAGCCCTTAAAAGCCGAGAAACGGAGTCTTCATCTACTTACAGCTCCCATTTAAATACAGAAAATCATTCAACCTCGGAGAACCAACTTTATAGAAGTACTAAGATGCTGGACACTTCCGAGATTAAATGCTGAATGCCAACAAAGACAACAAAATGACAACGTACCACACAACTGACAACTGGTCCTTACTACTGCCATTGTTAGTTGATGACGGCCTTGCCATTCGCAAATATGTGAAGTCTATTCTCACTGACTTACGCACTGATAATGTTTAACAAGTGATTTCTGAAAGCTGTCATTGGGAATATTTGGGGGAAAACCTCACAAAATAAAAGTAAAAGGAAACACCAATTCTGCTTGAAACAGTGTTGAGATGCTGCCAAGGTGTTGTCACAGCAAAACATTCCCCCTTCCCAGGAAGGAAGGGGACATTCCTCTGGGAGAGAGTTTTATGAGCAATAACAAGAGGACTTTGCCAAGTGAGTGCATGTGATGGCATTTGCTTAGAAAGAAAATCGTAAAGAAAAGT